AAATCTGTTTAAAATCTGTTTTTCCGTTAATCAGCTGTCGCCCCCATACGAACGACAACTCTCAGAAGTTGAGGAACTTGTGCGAGCTAAGGACTAACGAGGTCTTACCTTTTAACGTGTGATTCTTAACACGGTTGCAGAATCATCCCAGCTTCAACCAGATAAATTCTCGTGCGATCAGCAGTGGATTGATTTCCAATAGTTCACAGCCTAATTGCATTACGGCTTGGTTATGAACACTGTGATGGATATTACTGATTTTGCTTCTATAAAAACACATCAATTACTCATACGTGTCTAATCACAAATGTACTGACATAAATTCTCTTGACAACTGTCATAACCTAACAAACCGAACGAGGTAAGTTTAGCTCTTCAATTTTTTCAAATGCTTCGACGGCGATTCTGCTAATCTGGGCGGAGAAAAGTCCAACCAAATTCTTGAGCCGATTCTGACAAAAACATGTTTGTATTTGCAATATTTTGAAGCAGTGAAGTTACCAAAAAATACAGTACATTTTTAATACAAGACAGTTTTATTTAATGGACACTACCAAAAAAATGAAAGGAACAGCAAAACCATGATTCAACTGACATCGGTATCTTGTTGATCATTGAGTGGATGAAAATTGATTTCAGATCCTAACTGGCGTATACATATACCATAATAAAATTAAACAGTGATAACGATGAATTATTACTCTATGAGCGTATTTCTTATCGGAACTTTTCAAATCTATTTAGAGCACATCACATTAACCTTTAGGGTTACAAATTCCATTCATTTTGCATCTTCTAAATAATTCCAAATAAACATTTCTATAAATATATATCACTGAAATGATATTTTTAATTTTTGTTTGAAATTTCACATTCTTTTATTACGTTTTTTTGTTGACTTTTCTCAGTAGCCTGACGTATTCAATTTTGCTGAACAAAAAAACTGAATATGTATCAATATTTATTTTTATTTTGCGGAGCCAAAATTCCGTCTTTGTCATCGGACTCTCCCACTGAAAAACATTTGTACATAGCAACTGACTTTCGCAAAGAATTCGCAAAAAATTCATGGAACAGACAGGAAAAAATACATAATCTGATAGACCCGAATAGAATTCCCTGCGGTAATATTCATTAAAAGATAGGAAAACTATACACTAATGACATTGTCACAGAAAATGGTGCACATACACATTGGTGTACAACTTTTAACAAATTATTCACTGTATGTTATCATCATTCCATTATTTTGTTTGAGTAGTACAGAATATCATTATTATAATTCTGCTGGTTTGTTTAAGTGTAAATATTATTTTCAAACAATTACTAAATTGTGTTAAATAATAAAACGTACCAAAATCACGCGCTGGCTTCTTAGCCTTAGTGGTTCATTTGTTTATTTTAAAATGCAATTTTTGTAGAGTATTGAATAATGTTATTCAACATACTATATGCAAATCTACTCTAGCAACTTGTTATTGATGAAATTATTATTATATTACATCCCTATTCAATCTAAGTACAAAATGGAATTTGAATATCGTCATATTCGACTACGCCTCTATAAGGTTTCTCGTTGTAATTTTGATATTCTTCAGATTGTGGATAGTTTAAAATACCTACTTCCCTCTGGTGAACAAAATCTGCTGTTTGCTGCACTAAAATAACTTTTATTATAAAAGTTTTATAGCTCACAATTATATTTTATTGAATATATTTTAATGGTACTGTAGAAAAGAAGATATGAAAGAATAGAACGCAACATTTTGAGGTTCACTGGAATAAAATTCATTGTAGGCTCAGGAAACAATGATAAATCCTAACAAAATGCTGATACGGTCTCAGTGCAGACAGAGACTAGTTTAATCAAAATGATACGCTTAATTGGTAATTGAATACATATTTTTAACGGTATATTGCACATTTATTCGTCGATTATTCTGTTAGGAATTCAGATAATTTGGAGACTGTTTACGAAAATAATGTGTTTCCATGTTTTTCAACAAAACTGAATGAACAAGAATGATGTTACAATCCATCGATAATTGTTTTGTTTGGAAAGTTTATGAGATATCAATAAATGAACGATAAACGAATAAAAACCGAATTGGATGAATTTCACATACGTTAACGGGAATATGTCACAATTATACCATAGTTTGAGGGAATTTATCACAAAAACGAATCAGAATATAAAAAAAACAATATACGAGTTGGGTTAAAGAATGAAGTGAATTTTCATTTTTCTCAAGAAATATTTATTTATTCATCGATTTCAATTTTGTTCTCTTCAAAGTAGTCTCCCTTAGATACAATACACTTCTGCCAGCATTTCTTTCAATCCTCGATGTAGTTCTGATATGCACTTTTTGGTATGTTTCAGCTGTCTCAGCAATTTTTCTCTCATTCGTCGCAAAACGCCGTCCTTTCATGGGCCTCTTCAATTTCGAAAACAGGAAAAAGTCGCAGGAGGGCAAATCT